ACACCCTAACCGATTCAACACCAAATCTGCCATGAGGTTTCAGTTTGACCTGACGTTCATTTCGACTTCCCCAGACACGACCAGGCCTATCAAGGAAGTGCAAAGTGAATCGGGACTCATCTGAAAACACGACACGTGAAAAGTGTGAGTGAGTGTGGTTTAACGCCACTTTTAACAGTATTAACAGTTATATCACGGCGTGTCAGCTTAATGTGGGAGGAAAGCCCGAAGTGATGCAGGTCTCAGACGTTTACCACTTCGGTGAAACCCACGAGCATGGGTATGGTGCTGACAAACCTAGAAACATATTCGGGGCGAACTGGGACTCGACTCCACAATTATAGGTTTCTGGCGCACGTGAAAAGCAAAAATAACCCCAGTTTCGACGTTGTGTACACCATTGTTGTGTTGGCAACAACGGGCGACACAACACGTGGACACGGAGCATGGAGATGAGCTGCCTCCGAATCGTGTCCCCCGTAACTCGTACTTCGGTTGCCTGATGAAAATTTGCAGCAATTTGATTCGCCATTTGTGCTCGATTTCGTTGAGCCTGGTATCGGATCAGTCGATACTCTTGTTGACCTGGGACGCACTGAACGGGGTCGATCGTCAACATTTCGGGTTTCTTGGTACCTGTTCCATAGCTAATCACGGAGAGTGAAACATTAAACGTATTGGCCACTGCACGCTGACGTCAGCCCGTTTCAAGCATGCAAATCGTCCGCAGAGGCATCGCGTGTTGCAGACGCCGCATGGCTAGTTCATACACAAAACATAAATGAAATATAAAAAATCACAACTGTGTGATGAGCAGAATCAATAAGAGTGACAGAATAAACGATCAATTAATCGATTAATCGACATTCCTTGAAAGTGTCAAAATCGTCAATGACGGCCTACGCATGTGTGTGACTCTACTGCTTTGTTGTTTCGTGTTACAGACTTAAACGTTCTTGCACAGGATATGTGTCGTCAAAACGCATCTTTGTTCTAATACTATGTAGTAACATGTATATTTTATCCCCCCCTACTTTTGTAAAAGTGAGAACAATGTGTTGCTAAATAATCATTAAATAACTTTTGGATAGAGCAAAACAACCGGAGGCACGTACGCTCAATGGTATTTCATACCGGTCAATATTGAATGTCTCCAGCTGTGTGCGACACATTATTACTGCTTGACATTAGTATCAGGACAATGAAACCTATCGACGAAACCATTTATCCACAAAAAGCTTGTCATAAACGATGCGTCTGTTAAATATGTTTGTTACGTCAATACAGTGGTACTTTGCAAGAGTCGCTAGGAACTCATTAAGAGCGCCATCAACAACTTCAGCAACATCAACGACATCATCGATCATCTACAAAAATATCATGTGTAACCCTACCTTGATATTAAAACGGATGATCTCCATCAAGTGGGGGATCGCGTTTCCTGAACAAAAAAATCAAAACGTGGTCCTAGACGTATCAAAACACTTGCACTCACTGGAAAACACGGAGCATACACATTGTCGTGCGTTGTGACTGAACTGATTTTGAATGAGTGGCACAGTCCATTGTATTTGCACGGGTGACGGGTACGCCTTGGCACAACAGTGTATGCGTTGATTTGCTCTCAGTACGCGACGGAGTTCTATTCGAAGAGGTGAGTGAGTGAGATGTGTTTGAACGCTGCTTTTAACAGTATTGCAGTTATATCGCTGCGTGTCAGCTTAATGTGGTAGGAAAGCCCGAAGTGATGCAGGTCTCAGACGTTTACCACTTTGGTGTAACCCACAAGGAAGGTTATTGTGTTGGTCGTACCAAGGTCGTTCACTTAGTTGGACAGTTAGAAGTTTCTACTGCTTTCCTAGTGTACTGACGACATTCTTATAACTTCCGTGTTCGCTGAAGGTGTTCTTATATTTGCTGTGATCTTTCAAGGTGTTCAAATAATTTCCGTGTTCACCGAAGGTTTACTGAAGGTGTTGTGATGTTTGCTGTGTTTACTGAAGGTGTTGTAATGTTTGGTATGTTTACTGAAGATGTTGTAATGTTTGCTGTTTACTGAAGGTGTTGTAATGTTTGCTGTGTTTACTGAAGGTGTTGTAATGTTTGGTATGTTCACTGAAGGTGTTGTAATGTTTGCTGTGTTTACTGAAGGTGTTGTAATGTTTGCTGTTCACTGAAGGTGTTGTAATGTTTGCTGTGTTTACTGAAGATGTTGTAATGTTTGCTGTGTTTATTGGAAGTGTTCTAATGTTTGCTGTGTTTACTGAAGGTGTTGTAATGTTTTTAACGCTGCTTTTAACAGTATTGCAGTTATATCGCTGCGTGTCAGCTTAATGTGGTAGGAAAGCCCGAAGTGATGCAGGTCTCAGACGTTTACCACTTTGGTGTAACCCACAAGGAAGGTGATTGTGTTGGTCGTACCAAGGTCGTTCACTTAGTTGGACAATTAGAAGTTTCTACTGCTTTCCTAGTGTACTGAAGATATTCTTATAACTTCCGTGTTCGCTGAAGGTGTTCTTATATTTGCTGTGATCATTCAAGGTGTTCAAATAATTTCCGTGTTCACCGAAGGTTTACTGAAGGTGTTGTAATGTTTGCTGTGTTTACTGGAAGTGTTCTAAGGTGTTGTAATGTTTGCTGTTTACTGAAGGTGTTGTAATGTTTGGTATGTTTACTGAAGATGTTGTAATGTTTAGTATGTTTACTGAAGATGTTTTAATGTTTGCTGTGTTTACTGAAGGTGTTGTAATGTTTGCTGTGTTTACTGAAGGTGTTATAATGTTTGCTGTGTTTACTGAAGGTGTTGTAATGTTTGGTATGTTTACTGAAGATGTTGTAATGTTTGCTGTGTTTACTGAAGGTGTTGTGATGTTTGCTGTTTACTGAAGATGTTGTAATGTTTGCTGTGTTTACTGAAGGTGTTGTGATGTTTGCTGTTTACTGAAGGTGTTGTAATGTTTGCTGTGTTTACTGAAGGTGTTGTAATGTTTGCTGTTTACTGAAGGTGTTGTAATGTTTGCTGTTTACTGAAGGTGTTGTAATGTTTGATGTTTTCTGAAGGTGTTGTAATGTTTGCTGTGTTTACTGAAGGTGTTTTGATGTTTACTGAAGTTGTTATAATGTTTGCTGTGTTTACAGAAGGTGTTCTAATGTTTGCCGTGTTTACTGAATGTGTTCTAATGTTTGCTGTGTTTACTAAATGTGTTCTAATGCTTTCACGGAATGTTCTGTCATCTCCAATGTAATACATGCGTCTCTCTTTGTGGTTGTATTTCACGCTGTGTTCCCGACTTCAGCACAGATCAATAACTTCTGTATAATCACACGCCGACTATCAGTTGAACATGTGAAATGACGGAGCTTCATTGCAATATCTATTGCCTGGGATGAAGTGTAGGGCATCAACATAAAGTTTAGAATAGAACCTGGCGAAAGGAGACATCACCATATAAAATGTGATGAAGTCTTTGTACGCATTTTTTTTTTAATGGAGTCTATTCGACACCAAAGTGCCTTTCCACCGTTTTCTCTTTGAACCAGCAAATAGTCTTGTTTACGGAAGTACATGTATGACCCTTTCTATCCAGCGCACCTGCTTATTTGTATGGTGTTGTCTCCTTGTTGATTAAACTCATTTACTAGTTCCTGATGTACTTATTAAAACTTTGGAACTAAATTATTTGGTAATGTATTCTTGGTCGGGAGGCATCTAATGAGCAATTACTTTCGTGATTCAAAACATTACGAAGGTAATGGCCTACTGGCCAAGTCCCAGTGACCAGTCGTTTCATTTATGTAATGTATTTTGTATTTCCACATGGAGAAGTTTCTGATAATTGAACACGAGCACATCTTTGATCCAGCTGATGTCTTTTTATCTTAAAAACATTTCGCACAACCGTCTGCGTCATGCATGTTTCCAATGACATACATGTAAATATGTACCCATGAAGATCCGGGGTAGAATAGGCCTTCAGCAACCCATGCTTGTCGTAAGAGGCAACTAACGGGAACCTTGAAAAGTATTATTAGGCGACTGTGCTTGTCGTAGGGATCGGGTGGTCAGGTTCGCTGACTTGGTTGATGCATGTCATCGTATCGAAATTGCGTGGATCGATGCTCATGATGTCAATCACTGGACTGTGTGGTCCAGACTCGATTATATACAGACCGCCGTCATATAGCTGGAATATTGCTGAGTGCGGCGTAAAACAACAAGCAAACAACACATGTACATATGGACACTTGAATGGAGATTTAATTGAGGACTACCAGTATTGTTTGAGGATATGAGTGTTTGAAATGGAAACAAATACCAGGCTGCCATCAAGACCCACAGATTTCACAAGCTGCAGGACCTCATTTAAAAAAACTTAAGCTTATCGTGACAATTAAATTCATACGTGAATTTACTGCAGGCCATAAAGAACCATACAAATCTTAAACGATGGGCCGACACGAGATCAACCTGTCACAGGCCTATTGGTTGGCGTGCAATATAATGCACATGTACCTATTATAGTTTGTTCGTTTGTTGTTTAACGCCACACTCAACAATATTCCACCTATATCATGGCGGTCTGTAAATAATCAAGCCTCGACCAGACAATCCAGTAATTGACATCATGAGCATCGATCCACGCAATGGGGATACGATGACAAACATCAACAAAGTCAGCGAACCTGACCACCCGATCCCGTTAGTCGCCTCTTACGCCAAGCATAGTCGTCTTTATGCAAGTATGGGTTGCTGAAGGCCAATTCTAACCCGGATCTTCACGGGCTGTTCCTATTATAAACAGATCAATTAGTGATTATGTTATGGTTGCCGTTACTCAGTGATCAGCTGCTGTCGGTTTGATTGTTTCAAGGAGTATTCGACACAAGGAAAGTAAGTAAGAGTTAAATAAAAACTTTATTTAACCCTCCACGTAATCTTTATGGGTATTTATCAAAACATATTTGCATATTGTAACCTTAAGGTTCGGATATCATTGCAGGTCCATTCATCCTCATGAGAAGACCACTGACCACTCATTCTGGGAACATTCATGTGAGGCCAATTGGTCAGCCTGACCGTATTAAAGTGGACTTCGACGACCGGAGACAGGATGGACGCTAAGGACAACGTCACTCGGCTGACATTTGGACGTCACGAATTCTTGACCATCCAACCAGAAATTGCGATTCCGATTCTGTTTATACTTGGACTTGCCACACTTGCAGGAACCTTGGGGAATGGTTTGATTCTGGTATCCGTGGCAACGAGGAAGTCTCTCCACAACGTGGAGTCCATCTTCATAGTCAACCTGGCCTGCTCCGACCTGTATGTGACGGCGCTAGCGGATCCAATGAGCATCATAGGTGAGGCGACCCGTGAAGATCCGGGGTAGAATAGCAACCCATGCTGGTCGTAAGAGGCGAATAACGGGATCGGGTGGTCAGGCTCGCTGACTTGGTTGATGCATGTCATCGTATCCCAATTGCGCGGATCGATGCTCATGATAATAATCACTTGACTGTCTGTTCCAGACTCGACTATTTACAGACCGACGTCATATAGCTGGAATATTGCTGAGTTAATCTGTCATGTCAGTTTTCAGACGTTTACCGCTTTTTGAAACCCACAAGAACGGCTATGGTGCTGACAACCCCAGGAACACAGTCGGGACAAACCCATCTTCCCTAGGTGAGGGAGTTAACTGACTGTAAACTTCCAGTTTCCACCCTTGCCAAACTACGCTGGAATTTCTGGGCTCGATCGAAGCGCCACCTGTGGCTATTACGAGTCATGTTCCTTCTATGTCCCCCCTATTGACCAATCAGATTCCATCCCTCATATCACTTACACTTGCTTCAAACAAAATGGCGTCGCCAAGTGAAGACGATCCGATCAATAATCAAGATCTATTTCGTAATAAAACGGTCTTACTTCGCGAAGTGCAACAAATCACGTGAGCACATTGAGCACATTGATTAAAAACATCAAAAGATTTGGAAAATATAGGTTGACGCTAAGTTGTCGGTACACATGTGTTGCAAATCCTGCAATCGGCCGACATCTGCACGGCAGTTTACCAATCGGATGTCTATTTCGTTACTCGTTTTTGATTGGACTATGCGTAGACTCGTCAGTCAAGCCAAAATAAAATTCCATAATTCCAGCCCAGTTCGGCAAGGGTAGAAACTGGACTATTATAGTCAGTTAACTCCCTTGCCTCGGGAAGATGGGGCGAACCAGGATTTGAACCCACGATCGTAGGTTTCTGGCGTGCCCAAGAGACGCAACTCTGCAAAGCGAATTGTGGCGATGCTGATTACAAAAAAAGTTTGGCTAAAAATTCAAAACATCCTTTATTTATCTTTCTGTTTTCCTATCATCACAGAAAAAAAATGTTAATTTAGACAGGTGGCATCAGTATTCCAGCTGAATCACGTGACCTATAAATAATCAAGTGCGGATCACTCAAACTATTGGGCGAAAGCATGAACAACGATGTACAGCGTTTTGTTTGTTGTTAAACGCCGCACTCAGCATTATTCCACCAAAATTACGGCGGTCTGAAAATTATCCAGTGATTGACATCATGAGCATCGATCCACGCAATTGAGATACGATGACATGCACCAACCAAATCAGCGATCCTGACCATCCGATCCCGTTAGTCGCATCTTACGAACAGCATAGTCGCCTTATACGGCAAACCTGGGTTGCTGGAGACCTATTCTACCCCGGATCTTCACGGTTAGTGTAAATCGTCGGGGTACGATTACATGCTATCGGTCATGAAACAAATCCAGACCATACGTTACTTATTTAGTCCAACCAACCACCTTAAAGTCTGGACCAGGTAAGCCAACATGATATTCAGTGTATTGTGTCTCCATTCTATTGTGGGGGAACGGGTGGTCCAGTCGTCTGAGCCGCCGCGATTCGCTGTGCAGAGTTGCGTCCCACTGGCACGCCAGAAACCTATGATTGTGGGTTCGAATCCCGGTTCGCCCCGATTCGCCCTGTTTCTAGGTTTGTCAGCACAATACCTGTGCTCGTTGGTTTCACCGAAGTGGTAAACGTCTGAGACCTGCATCACTTCGGGCTTTCCTCCCACATGAAGCTGACACGCCTGGAATACTGTTAAAAGCGGCGTTAAACCCAACTCACTCACTATTGTGATAAAAACCCGCACCCATTGCCTAGGTTCGTTTCGGAAGTGACGTCAGCACCTCAATCGCTCATTCAGCACAGAATATCTCTCACTCAGGAGAATATTCTGATTGGGTGCCGGTTATTTCTAGCGTCATGACGATGCTATGGTTGTGACCTGGTCCAGGGTATTTATCTTGATAGAATGGATATATAATACCCTGGATAACAGAGGATGGCGAATCAGTGGTTGATAGCAGTCTTCACCGCTACACTGGTCATCGCGATTTCGATAAACAACACCGTCAAATGTCAAGCTGTTCCAGGAGTGTCTGAGTTGGACTTTACGCCGTTTTTAGCAATCTTCCAGCAATATCACTGCGGGGGACACCAGAAATGGGCTTCACACATTGTACCCATGAGGGGAATCGAACCCGGGCCTTCGACGTGACGAGGAAGCGCCTTAACCACTAAGCTGTTCCATCGCAACAGTTCTTCTAGGATTAGTCTACCCTAAATCATGGATCATGTTTGTAGTCGATAAACTTTTTTGAGCTTTTCTCTCCTTTTCTTATTTCAGCAAAACTGGAGGGCTCCGATTTCTTCGACCGTATCCCAGGACTGTGTCGTGTCATAGGCTCGTTGTGCACGATGTCGTGTGTGGCGTCTCTCATGACCATCGCCGCCATGAGCTGCAACAGATACGTCTTCATCGTCCACCACAGTCACTACAAATCCATCTTCAGCACCCGCAACTGCGTCATCTACTGCGTGCTATTTTATTGTGTCGGCATGTGTCTCGTCCTCCTCAACCTCGCCGACATTGGCGGCCATTCCTTCGACCACAAGAGCCTTGAGTGTATTTGGGAGCGCATGGCGACGTACCCATACACCGTTGTATTCTCCGTCGTCATGGTGTGGATCCCGATCGGCGTCACAGGGATATCCTATCTGCGTATTTACCAACACGTGCGAGCTGTCCGTTCACGGGTACATAATGCACGTGCAACCCACCCCGGATCAACAGATAAATCAACTGATCGAACTCCAGACTTCAAGCTCGCAAAGACACTGTTTATCATTTACATCGTGTTTTCCGTGTGCTGGATACCGTACGCCTTACTGATCGTCTTGGACTCACGTGACACCTTCCAGCACGAGCTGCACGTGTTTATCGTGGTGTTCGCTCACCTCCACCCGTCCATCAACTGGCTCGTGTATTACGCCACGAACAGGAAGTTCCACAGCGCATTCATCGAAATCCTTGGCCTCAACAAATGTGTTTCTGTACAACGTCAAGCTACTCTTTCAACGACCATGCAGCCCCCACAAGGCAGTCACGGCAACGGGAGAACTGACATTGCGGTAGTTACCTCCAGAAACATGACGCCATAGTAAAGTTGAATAAAGGATGAATTATCACCATTTTGTGAGAATGTCAACGATGATCAGAATTCAGATCCACATTGAACAGATCCAGCCGGGACAAATATTACCCGTGAAAATGTATCTCGTCCAGTGAACATCACAGTGAAATTGAGCTCACGCATGTGGATTCGAAGAAATAACTTGTATATTTAAGCTCGACATGATGAAATTTATATATGAGGTCCCTGCCGTGATATTGCTGGTGTATTGCAATACGCGTCGTAAAACCATACTCATTCACTCACTTATATATATTTGTTTGTTTGTTTGTTGTTTAACGTGGCACTCAGCAATATTCCAGCTATATGACGGCGGTCTGTAAGTAATCGAGGCTGGACCAGACAATCCAGTGGCTGACATCATGAGCATCGATCCACGCAATAGGGATACGATGACCTGCATTAACCAACTCCCGTAAGTCGCCTCTTACGACAATCATAGTCGCGTTTTACGGCAAGGATGGGTTGCTGAAGACCTATTCTACCCCAGATCGTCACGGGTCCACTTAATATATACTAGCCACATAACGAAACTGTGCACGGAGAAAATATATTCTGGATTGAAATACAACACAGCAAGAACAAAATGATGCCGACGCTGTAGCAGCTGAATGATCGGACCATAAGAAAATGTCAACGGGACCTGAACAACATCTGTTACGATGACGTCAGAAGATCAAAATGGAGTAGGGGGTCATACGACAAAGTCACAAAGTCAATAACGGGTATGACCACCGTGTGCGTGAATCACAGCAGTGCATCGGCGACGCATGGAGTCCACCAAATGGCCATATCCTCCTCAAATCCTGTGCCAAGTCACGGACGTTATCTGGAGGATGTGGAAGACGACGCAGACGGCGCTCCATTTCATCCCACACATGCTCTATTGGGGAAAGATCTGGAGAAACTGCAGGCCATGGCAGTACCATGACATTGTTATGGTGAAGGAAATCCATTGCGACCCTAGCCGTGTGAGGACGAGCGTTGTCCTGTTGAAATGTCAATCCCGGGCCATGACGTTGCAGGAAAGGAATGACCACAGGCCTCAGAATCTGATCTCTCTAGCCAACACCGATGAGATTGCCCTGAACAACCACCAAAGTGGTTCGGTGCCGTGCTGTTATCCCACCCCAAATCATCACAGAGCCACCTCCAAAACGATTCCTCTCCACAATACAGTTGCGTGCATAACGTTCTCCCAAACGCCGGTAGACACGTTGGCGCCTGTCACTGTGGGAAATGTTGAACCTCGATTCATCTGTAAAGACAACATTTCTCCACCATATTCGAGGTTGGCGAACATGATTTCGACACCATCTTAGACGGTTGACTCGATGACGGTGTGTCAGGATGGGACGTATGGCAGGGCGTCGTGGTCGAATACCGTACTGACGTAAACGATTCCTGACAGTGTTGGGATGGATACGGCGCAGTCCAGGAATTGTCTGGGACGTCGTTACTGCCGTTTGGAACCTGTGTCGGAGATGTGTAACTCGAATCCATCTGTCCTGTCTTGGCGTCGTTACTCGGGGACGTCCTGAACGTGGGTGGTCGGCAACGTCATTTGTGTTCTGATAACGCCTCACCAATGCCGATATCGTGTTACGATGGCATTGGAAATGTGTTGCCACCTGTTGTTGCCTCATTCCCGCTCGGATCATTCCAATGGCTTCATGACGCTGTGCAGCTGTCAATCTTTGCATGATTTGCTTGTGATATGCTTGTGTCTGCGCCTGAGAAGTTTTGAATTTTTGAATGACCACAGATCATGCTTTCCAAAGTGACAGCGAATTTTGAGTTGCACATGATGTGTACAGCTGCACAGGATGCACGTGCAGTAACACATTGCACGTCCATAGGCCCTCATCAATGACGTCATATCGCATGGCACGTGCATGAGCGTTTGAATGTCTCCAATAATTGCTGTGTTCAAACCTATATTTCATATATGGACGGTGTGCCCTTATATCTATATTTTCTCCGTGCACAGTTTCTTTATGTGGCTAGTATATATCAGGTTACAATTAGGAAACACTTTCACTTGGGAATATATAACGGACCGAAAACACCTAGAGAAATGAGGGGGAACAAAACCCCAGGCCATGAAAACATTTTCCTTGTAAAAACATGAGAGTAATGACATTTTTCACGACAGGAACAGATACTCTTTGCCAAGGATACGGGAACCCAACCTATATGGATCCGCGGCACGCTGATTCGCCTCGATTATGATCCGTGGCCTGTCGGTACCATGTGCTGGCTCCTCCCGGAGCACCAAGAGATTTACATCTACTGAAATAGAAAACAAAATGGAAACATTTTGTGGAACCTCTGAAACAGTTCGAAAAGTGTTATTAGGCGACTCTGCTTGTCGTAACAGGCGATCGGGATCGGGTGGTGAGACTCGCTGACTTGGTTGATGCATGTCATCGTATCCCAATTGCGTAGATCGATGCTCATAATGTCAATCAGTGGATTGTGTGGTCCAGACTCGATCATTTACAGACTGCCGTCATACAGCTGGACCATGTTATGTCATTTCACTGACCAGTGAAGAAATAGCTCAGTAAAATGAATTTGGAAATAAATGGTATTTATCGTTGTGACGTTCATTTGGTGTTTTCGTGGTTTTGTATGATGTTCTGTGATGTTCCATGAAATTTTAGGTTTTATAACTTTTCATGCGGTTTCGTCAATTTGTTTGAATGTGTCGAGGTTTTTCGTGATGTTCCCTGATCACGCCCTATGATGTTCCCTGATCACGCCCTATGATGTTCCCTGATCACGCCCTATGATGTTCCCTGATCACGCCCTATGATGTTCCCTGATCATGCTCTATCATGTTCCCTGATCACGCCCTATGATGTTCCCTGATCACGCCCCATGATGTTCCCTGATAACGCCCCATGATGTTCCCTGATCACGCCCTATGATGTTCCCTGATCACGTCCTATGATGTTCCCTGATCATGTCCTATGATGTTCCCTGATCACGCCTTATGATGTTCCCTGATCACGCCTTATGATGTTCCCTGATCATGTCCTATGATGTTCCCTGATCACGTCCTATGATGTTCCCTGATCACGCCCTATGATGTTCCCTGATCACGCCCTGTGATGTTCCCTGATCATGCCCTGTGATGTTCCCTGATCACGCCCTATGATGTTCCCTGATCACGCCTTATGATGTTCCCTGATCATGTCCTATGATGTTCCCTGATCACGCCCTATGATGTTGCCTGATCACGCCCTATGATGTTCTCGATCACGCCCTGTGATGTTCCCTGATCACGCCCTGTGATGTTCCCTGATCATGTCCTGTGATGTCCCCTGATCACGCCCTATGATGTTCCCTGATCACGCCCTATGATGTTCCCTGATCGTGTCCTATGATGTTCCCTGATCATGTACTATGATGTTCCCTGATCACGCCCTATGATGTTCCCTGATCATGTCCTGTGATGTTCCCTGATCATGTCCTGTGATGTTCCCTGATCATGTCCTGTGATGTTCCCTGATCATGTACTATGATGTTCCCTGATCACGCCCTATGATGTTCCCTGATCACGCCCTATGATGTTCCCTGATCATGCCCTGTGATGTTCCCTTATCACGGCCTGTGATGTTCCCTGATTACGCCCTATGATGTTCCCTGATTACGCCCTATCATGTTCCCTGATCACGCCCTCTGATGTTCCCTGATCACGCCCTGTGATGTTCCCTGATCACGCCCTGTGATGTTCCCTGATCATGCCCTGTGATGTTCCCTGATTACGCCCTATGATGTTCCCTGATCACGCCCCATGATGTTCCCTGATCATGCCCTATCATGTTCCCTGATCATGCTCTATCATGTTCCCTGATCACGCCCTATGATGTTCCCTGATTACGCCCTATGATGTTCCCTGATCACGCCCTATGATGTTCCCTGATCACGCCCTGTGATGTTCCCTGATCATGCCCTATCATGTTCCCTGATCATGCCCTATCATGTTCCCTTATCACGCCCTATCATGTTCCCTGATCACGCCCTATCATGTTCCCTGATCATGCCCTGTGATGTTCCCTGATTACGCCCTATGATGTTCCCTGATCATGCCCTATGATGTTCCCTGATCATGCCCTATCATGTTCCCTGATCACGCCCTATGATGTTCCCTGATTACGCCCTATGATGTTCCCTGATCACGCCCTTTGATGTTCCCTGATCACGCCCTGTGATGTTCCCTGATCATGCCCTATCATGTTCCCTGATCACGCCCTATGATGTTCCCTGATCATGCCCTGTGATGTTCCCTGATCACGTCCTGTGATGTTCCCTGATCATGCCCTATGATGTTCCCTGATCATGCCCTATCATGTTCCCTGATCATGCCCTATGATGTTCCCTGATCACGCCCTATGATGTTCCCTGATCACGCCCTATGATGTTCCCTGATCACGTCCTGTGATGTTCCCTGATCATGCCCTATCATGTTCCCTGATCATGCCCTATCATGTTCCCTGATCACGCCCTATGATGTTCCCTGATTACGCCCTATGATGTTCCCTGATCACGCCCTGTGATGTTCCCTGATCATGTACTATGATGTTCCCTGATCACGCCCTATGATGTTCCCTGATCACGTCCTGTGATGTTCCCTGATCATGCCCTATGATGTTCCCTGATCACGCCCTATGATGTTCCCTGATTACGCCCTATCATGTTCCCTGATCACGCCCTATGATGTTCCCTGATTACGCCCTATGATGTTCCCTGATCACGCCCTATGCTGTTCCCTGATCACGCCCTGTGATGTTCCCTGATCATGCCCTATCATGATCCCTGATCACGCCCTATGATGTTCCCTGATCACGCCCTATGATGTTCCCTGATCACGCCCTATGATGTTCCCTGATTACGCCCTATGATGTTCCCTGATTACGCCCTATGATGTTCCCTGATCACGCCCTATGATGTTCCCTGATCACGCCCTATGATGTTCCCTGATTACGCCCCATGATGTTCCCTGATCACGCCCCATGATGTTCCCTGATCACGCCCTATGATGTTCCCTGATTACGCCCTATCATGTTCCCTGATTACGCCCTATGATGTTCCCTGATTACGCCCTATGATGTTCCCTGATTACGCCCTATGATGTTCCCTGATTACGCCCTATGATGTTCCCTGATTACGCCCTATGATGTTCCATGATTACGCCCTATGATGTTCCCTGATTACGCCCTATGATGTTCCCTGAT